CATTTGAATTGTTTCCTTTACTAAAATCACTGTCTTCATTATACTAGAAGTGAATAGTATAATGTAACTTAACTTAATTAACATTGTGTACAGGTTGTTAGGTAGGAGCTAGTAAACTAAACTCTTGATTATGTAAACCTAGCCTAGAAATTAGAATCTTATCATTTAGGTTATTAAAGAATACTATTTTACTAACATTCTTTAGCTAGTTATTCTTATTAAGAGTATAATTAAGAGTGTTTTCAGAGTAAGCTATAGTAAGATATTAACTTATAATAGTAGTAGTAAGTAGTTTAGACATTAAGTAAAAGGTTAGGAAAAAAGAAATAATAGTCTAACACAAACTAATCTATTATCTATATACATATTATTAGAGAATATAGTTTTCTCTTATACTTTACATTATAGGAAATTGTGTAAGGGTTACAAGAAATAAGGGAGAACAGAATATAGTAGTTTATACTCTGTTCTAGAAATACTAAGACTATCTTTATAATAACTCTAATTACTTGTATTCTTAAATAGTTAGACTTTAAACTAGTATAGAGAGTTATAAGTTTGTAAGATCTATATTAGTTATACACACAGTAAGGATAATGTTTAGTTTGTAGATAGAACAATCTTAAACAGACTATAGTAATCTACTCTTTTAGTACCTTAAGTAAAATGCTAGTATTATAAGAATACACTCTTATACTATATAAGAATTATTTAGTAATATTTAGCTATACTCTACAGTTTGAAAGAATTAAGTGTAATAAGTTATAACTTAATAATCTTAGAATTATGTTAAATTATAGTGTCTAATAGTAATATATTACTTAAAAGAATAAAACTATATATTTAAGAAAAGTATATAATATGTAAAAGAAAGTGTTCTAATCTAACTCTAGAAGTCATATATATTAGATAAGCTAGAATTGTCTTTGACTAGCTTGATTACTATTGAAACCTAAATAAAGAGTCTTTAAAATGTGTTATAAGGTGTTTCCTATATATACCTTATTTATTCAGTATTTTAAGTTCTAAGTCTTTAAGACTAACTTTTATTTTATAATTAATATATTGTAGAACATTTTATTAACTATTATCTGAGTCTGAATCTAATACAAGTTTGTGTACAAACTTATTTATATTTAATAATAATACTGTATTAATAAGTCTCTTAAACTGTACCTTAGTAATAGTCTCTATAATATAATTACTTCTTTAAATAGTAGTTATAATATACTTTATAATAAACAAATTAAATAAGACTAGTTAGAATACTATCTTTTAAAAGATAAAGGTAAACTAATCCTTAATAAAGTTAGTATTATTTACTCAATTAAAACTAGTATATACTAAAGTATAGTATTTTATAATAATACTTTATAATAGTTATTATAATTATACTCTTTCTAAACCTTACTATATTATATAAATAGAATACTTTGTTCTACTTCTAATAAAAGCTAATTTATGATTTTGTTCTAAATCTCTATTCTAGTATTTACTATTAACTTATACTTAAATGTGTTTATATTATTTAAATAGAATATATATTTAAAGTCTAATAAAAGTTTCTTAAAATATAAATCTTTAATTGTAAAAAAAGTATATTTTTACTATTAACTTGATTTTCAGTTATAATCCTCTAATATTATATTAAATGTATTTTAATATATTATATTTGTTTATTATAAGTAAGTATATTTTAATAATATTATTTATATATAAGTTATAAGTTAGGTCAAAGTTAGGTTGAGTCAAAGTAGGTTAGAAAAATTTAAGAGAAGACTAACTTATAATCTGACTCAAATTTGACTTAGTTTAACCTAATATACTGAGTTAGGTTAAAATGAGTTAGGTTAGAGTTAGGTCAGAGTTAAAACAAATTACAATCTAACTATATATATTACTAGTTAATACAGTTTAGTTTATTATTATTATATAGTTAAACTCTTATCTTTCCTTCTATTTAATTAACTCTTTCAAATGTATTCTTTAACTAGTTTCTATTTTACTCTTTATATATATTACTCTACTTATAAATCTTAAACATATATTAACTTTTATAACAAATTTTTGACAGAACTTTAATATTATTCTTATTCTTGTTCAGTCTTATAATATATAGTATTACATTTGTTAGTAACTGTTATTAAACTTATTATTAACAAAATTGTTTATATAACATTTAGTATATATATAAAGTTCTAATGTTTGTAAGTTAATTAATTCTTAATTCTAAGACTATTATTAATAACAACTTATTTTTATAGTATTATTCTGTATAGTTGAATCTATTATTATTATAAGTACTCAGAACATTAGTATTATTACTGTTCTAATTATTATTTATACTATATATGTCTTTTCTTATTAAATCTCTAATAAATAAGGAATTAGTTAGTAGACTACTACTTGTCCCTTACTTACTATTATGTACAGTTTACTATAAAGAATATATGTGTGTCTCTTTAGTTTCTCTATAAGTTCCTTTAATAAGCTCTTTTGTTTAATAAACTATAACTCTTTATACACATTATTATTATAAATATTATATTACTTAGATAGTATACTCTCTCTTCCCTCTTTATTAGTTCTCTATTTGTTATTAATACTTTCATTAGTATAAACATTACAACTACTATTATTAAGTAATAGGAATGTATACTTACTTTATTTTTTCTGTTTGTATTTTTAAGCTTTAATAGTATTGTATTACAAATAAAATATTTGTAATATTAGTACTTGTTACACTCCTACCCTTTATCTTTATACTATTCTAGACTGAGTATAAATTAAGGAAGCTGAGTATTATTAAGAAGTTACTTAAAGTAGATAGTAGGTCAAAAGACACACTTCTACTTAGTATATTTAATAATCCAATTTTCTTAAACTTAGTCTTATTTTTCTTCTATCTAAAGAGTCAAAAAAGAGTATTATAAAACATACATATGTTGTACTTAGTTAACTAGACATTACTGACTGTGTACTTGTGTACTTCTTAGTATAGTTGTTATACTTCTCCTTCTTCCCCTTTATACTTACTAAGGAGGCAAAAGGTTGATAGAAGAACTGTGAGTACTTGTATTTATCTTTCAGATACTAGTATTGACTCATTTCCTTCTTAAGTACTATAGTATTAATAATTGTAATACTTGTTGTCTGAATTATGTTCTTTATCTCTAGTGTTTAGAACTTATACTATAGATAGTATAGTAAAAGTGTTTAGTCCCCCTAAAAAAGGAAGACTATTTGTAAGAGATTTGCACACTATATTTAGTAAATGAATCTGCTTAGAGACTCTAAACACTTGTTTACCTTTCTAATAAGTTAATACTAATTACTTATTAATTTAATTTCCTTTTAAAGAGGGCTAAACACTTTATACATACTTGTATGTAAAACAACCTGTAATTACTCTATGTTTCTTACTATAGTTCTAGTAAGCTGGGTCAGCTTCTTTAACTTTGTAGATTCTTCTTTCATTAGTTTACTTAGTAATATAGTTACTAATGTCTGGTCCTAGACTGTTTAGACTCAGTCTGGATGTAAGACTAGACTAATAGACTAGTCCTTTATAGTCTAGTCCTTATAGGTCTAGAAGAGGTCTAGTCCTAAGTCTATCATTTTAAGAAATTTCCCAGACTAATAGACTTGTTCAGACCTAGACTAGACTCTAGACCTGAATAACCTGAACTAATGTCTTAAATCTTGTTTCTCATATCTTTAGCTTACTATACTAAAACAGATTATACTCCTTTAAGGATCTTTGAATATTAGCTAGTACTTACATAGTACATTTTACAAGTTTCTGACAGTCTAAGCAAAGCAAATTTACTCCTGTTCTTTACTGTTCAATGTATAGCTTACTAAACTTGACTCTTCCTATCTAGTTATTGTCTCCTAAAATATTTATTCCCTTTATGTGTATTTCTTTCCTATTTCCTATTTTTACCCTCTTTTTAGTCTGCTAAGCTACACTTCTCTCTCTCTCTTCCATATTCACTCCTCTCCTATCTTATACTAAAGACATTACAGTCCTAGCTGCCTTCCCTAGTCAAGCAGCCAGCTAATGTCTCTACCCCTGACAAATTAGACAAGATGTCTAAAATCACTCTCAGAAAGAAGAAGAATACTGACACTCAGACTGCTTTCTGTACACACTGTGCCAACTATATTGCCACCCTTGAAGAGACAGGTCTGTCTACTATTAAGTACCTAAATATTCATGTTCTAACAACTAAGTGTCTGTAAATCACAGTAACCAGCTTAGAGGCAGTTATAGTCCAGCTTTAGGACTTGTGTCACAAGGCTCACACTGAAGCCTCAGAATTGTATCAGGAAAACTGTTACAGTGTCTAGTCTGTAGATTATATAGTATATACAAAAATATATTACTTTTGTACTTAGATACAAAGAATAATACTCTAACTCATCTTAAATTATTTTTCTCTCAGGTCCAGTTATGGACCAGTCCAGAACCAGACTGGAACTTGGGTCTGGTCCACTACCTGTCTACATAGGTCCGGTCCCCAGTCCAGGACACTCCTAGACTGCAGATTTGGTCTGGTCCTGAGTCCAGGTGAAGTATGCCCAGACCAGACCAGGACCAGACTTCAGCAACTATACTTAGTAATATCTTACTTGTTGCACCATACGTTTTGTATTACTTGACTTATACATACCTCTACTCCTTTGTTCTTATAGTTAAACTACAGGCTGGAACATTACAGTAATGCTCTATTTCTATTGTTACAAGTTTATTCTTATTGCCAGGTGAAGTATTCTGTTGCTGTGCATCTTGTTTTCTATCTCTTCTGCAAACTTCCGCCGGTCAGGGCTAATCAAAACTTTCTAGAGGTTGTGGCTCGATGATTCACTCGTGCAGTGCTAATGTATTGACAACTGAAGTTATCTGGACACAAGTCCTACAAGGTTTTGGAGGCAGGTTTTCAGAATTTGCAGGGCAAGTTGGCGCTCAAGTCAGTGTATTGGACGTCGACGTAGCAATGGCCGCAGCTGTGGCCTTGTTATGGACGGAAACTGGCGGTCGGTTCGGGAATGCGAATGGTATGAAACGAAACGAAGTGACTATATGGACTACCAAATGGGGTGATGACTAATACCGGTACAAACACTCTGACAGGCGAAGGCGATCGCGTCACTGAGACTTGGTGAAAGTCGGTGGGATCCTGATGCACAGCGATTCTTGACAATTACGCCGCTCGCTCAAGTTGTTGCCTTTACTAACAATCCGTCAACCGTTCCAGACGACGGCTGGCTCCGAACATTGGACGGGGGCCTCTTCCTATGGATCCCTCCTAAACATCGACGTAGCTTATGTAATACAGGCCAAGTTCGCGTTCCCAACGAGAATGGACAGCTCATGACGGTTGACCGGAGAAAGTTGCATCATGGGAAGAACTGGACAAGTATCATGCGTGGTGAAGGGGTAGAAAATGGCTGATGTAGTATCAATCATTCGAATGTATTCCTTTTTATATTGTATTTTATTGAGGTTCCTATTTCTGCAATCAGATTCCCGGTTTGTACAGGTTTTGTTTCGGGCTCTAGGAATAAGATGCTGCGTTTCTATGATGCAGAGACTGGCAAATCCGCTGGTGTCCCTATTTCAGGCCATCGTGGTCGAATTTATAGTGTTGCATATTCACCAGCCCAAGGTGGGAATAGAATCGTGTCAGACATTGCTGACTTTACACTACAGATTTGGGATGCTATTTACAGAGTAGAGGGTTAAGGGTAGGTAGAGGTTAAAGGTAAGTAACAAGAGCAAGTGTAGCACTTAAGATTTAAGTAAAGTCCCATGTGATATTCAACCATTACATAAGCTAAGTAACTCACTTTATATTTACTATACTATTATAATATACATGTTACATTTGAGTACTATACATTTATTAAGTTTATAACCTCTTAAACAGAGTTTCTATTTATTATAAACATTAATAGAACTTTAGTACACATTATAAGTGTAGAAAATGCTTTTATATTATATTATATAGTAGACACAAGTCTTTTTCTTTAAGTAAAATACTATAATAAAGTATTTACTCTCAATATATTTTTGTTAAAATATATTTACTCAATATTTAAAGCTATTATAATACATATACTGTATTATATTCATTAATAATACTTTTAGAACCTTTATAAGATGTATAAGAATTATCTTTACTTTATAACCTTATTAAAATTCTTACAGTTACTATATAATTTATAAATAATGTGTATTCTACTATATAAGAACTATAAAGCTATATAAGAAAATGGACTTTTCCCTGACGTATTTGTCGGATCTGGAGACAATTCCGCTCCAATCCAGAGAGTATGCAACGGTCCAAACACGCTCATCGTTACCCTGAAGAGGTTGACGTTCTGCCAACTTGTGTAGTACTCATCACTTTTGTTCCCTCCAGTCCAGGTTTGCCTTCCTTTTTGAATTTGCATTTGTGCATCTGTATTGTTTCTAATGCTAAACAATTTCTTCAATAATTCTATACATTTGTATACTTTTTCCTACTCTATAGTATAAGTAACAATTTGTTAGTAATAGTATAGAGGGGACCTGAAGGCTCAGTAAGGGGACCCAGGCTACAACTATTCTATACAACAGAAATACAGAACACAAACACTGGAACATAGTTGGAACTTGTAGAACAGGCAGAGAGAGAGAGTGAGATAAGAGTAGAGTATATAGAGTAAGTCTAAGAGTATAGGACTATCTAGAGTAGACAAGATTAAGACTACTAGACTAGTCTAATCTTGTACACCTATATATACTAAACTACACAAGAGTACTTAGAGAGTATGAATTACTAAGAATGATAAGCTACAAAGAATGAAAGAAAGGGGAGGTTAAAGATAAAGGTATAAAGAATAAAGGGATAGACAAAGGGTAAGAGACTATAGAATGAACAAAGAAAGAAAGGAGTAGTTAAAGGAATAGAATGATAAAGTAAGGAAGGGTAGTAGTAAGAGTTAGTACATATATAGTTCATAGACAGTACTTCTAAAGGACAGAAGTCCTGAGTTCTAGTACAGAAGAGTGTAGAACCCTTAGAACTAAAGGTACAAGAGTAGAGAATTGTAACATTATCCTCTCTCTAAAACCAATTGTTCTAATTAGTAAACATAGGGCTTAGTTAATAGCTCAGGTATAGATTAGAATAGTAAGGCTTGGAAATCTGTAAGGCTGAGTTTGTACAGAGTACTAGAATGAAGCTAATAAAAGTCTTAGATTGTCTTAGAAGTATAGGTAAGGTTCTTAGCAGGTTCCTAAGTATACTCCTTAATTAAATACCCTTTCTAGTAAACAAGGAATTTGAGTTTTCTGTATAGTAGCTTAGTATCTACTATGTACTCTACTTTATATTCTGGTTCAAAACTGATAAGTTCTAGTAAAGGTAGAGGGGGTCTTTGTTATAAAGGAAAATTAGGATTATAGTACTAAGACAACAGAACCTTATTGAACACTGGGTGTATACACTTCTATATTACTAAAAGTTAGAGTTTATAGGTAGAGACACTAACCTTCTTTTTAATAACAAAGGGTCTGAAGTACTTGTTGTCTAACTTCTTTATTAAGCAATCTAAGGTCAGATTAGTAGCTTCTAGTATAACCTTGTTACTAGGCTGGTAATCCTTAGCTACAGACCTCTTCTAATTATAGTTCTACTTTATAACTTATACTACCTTCTCTAAAAGAGCTTGTGTGTCCTCTCTAGTTCTACACATCTGTTTTACAAAGTCTGTTACAGATTTGAAACTACTGTTCCAGTTTGGAACTGTCCCCTAGTACAAATGTCTCTTATGATTGAGGAAGAATAAGGACTGTCCTGTTGTAGAGTGTTTCTAGTTATTATACATGAATTCTGTTAGAGCTAACTATTTAGACCAGTCTAACTACTAATGATTGATAAACATCTAGAGATAGAGCTTGATCTCCTGATTGACTTACTCAGTTTAACTATTAGTCTACAGGTAATATGTAGTAGAAGGGTTCTCTTGAATTCTAAAAAGTATATACAAGTCCTACATAAATTTTGACTTGAATTACAGTCTGTAATTGTGAATGAGCTTCTGAGAGAGTCTATATAACTAGAAAACATAATCCTAATAGATACATACTATACTTTCAGAAGTAAGTTCTGTTCAGGTCAGAACTGTGTAGACTTACTTAGAGAATCAGTCAACAATCATACAGATAGTATTGTAACCCTAAGACTTGAGTAGTTTACTAATTAGGTCTACTAAGACTTCTTTCTAAGAGTAATCTAGAATCTAATACAGATGTAAGAGAGCCCAAACCCCTGTCTAGTAGGCCTTAGTCTGTTAGTATGTATTACAACCAGTCACATACTTTAGGATTTCCCTCTGTATTCTAGACTACTAGTAGTTTTAAGTAATGAGTTTCTGTATTTTGTGTCAGTCTAAATGTTCTACAGTCAGATTGTTATAATAAGCTTAGATAATGTCCTCCTACAGTTTCTAATCCTTTAGAACATACAGTCAGCCTTCCTAGTAAACCTGTCCATCCTTATCCTCCTCCTAATCTCTAGCCTGCTTCTCTAGTTACTTTACTATAACCTAGTCTTATGTGTGTCTTAGAGCTTACTATATGTAAGTAACAAAGTTAACATTCTTAGATTCAAGTCAGATCTCTTAGATTGTCTTAGACACAAAACAGGAATTGTTTAGAAGAACAAGATTTTTGTTATCATTCTCTCCCCTTTTATAACCTACTCATTTTAAGAGTAAATCAGCTTTTGTCATTTATATTCTGGGTTTGTAAGTTAGTACAAAGTTATAGTTTTATAGTTCTAACATTTAGTAAGCCTAACAGTAGTTAAGCTTCTAAGGTGTCTGAAAGTACTAGAGATTAAGGTGATTACTTTAGATCTTAAACTTCTACACTATACTAAAGAGATATTAATATTACTCCTTTAAGGAACAGACAATTGTAAGGAGTTCCTTATTATAGATAGAGTAGTTCTGTTTTATTATAGAGAGGGATTCTGATTAGAACACTATTAGACACTACTTTCTGTTAATGAACTAGAACAGTACTACTCTATTTGTAAAGTTGAAAGAGTTGGCTTTAACTTAGAACTTGTCTATAACTATCAAAACTGTTAGTACAGGCTTACTAGTAATAACCTACTTTAGAGACTCAAACACAGACTGTTACTAATCCTCCTATTGTTAAGGAACATTTTTGCTAGTAAGATTGTGTAGAGGCTAGGTAATAGTACTAAAGTCTTAAATAAAGTGTTAGTAGTAGTTTACAAACCTAAGGAATACTTAGACTTGTTTCAGGTTCTGAGGTTGTAGTTAGTTCTAAACTACAGTTACTTTTGCCAGATCCATGTAGACCTCTTCTCTACCAATTACAAAGCTTAGATAATCCTAGACTAGGTAGAGCTTCCTATCTTTCTTTTTAATAAAGAAGAAAGAGGAGGCTATAAAGGACTTTAAAGGTTAGATCTGACTGTTCTAAAGATTTTCCTAAAGAAACTTGTCAAGTGCCTCCTACTTGTCTCTGTTGAGTAGGTAGACCTTACAATCCTTAGGTTGGAAACCTTTAGTCAATTCAATTGTATAGTCCTAAGAATAGTGTTTAGGAAGCTAGTCAAATTCCTCTTTACTAAAGACTTTAGGAAACTCTTAGACAAAATCTGGTAGACTGAGTCTACATGTGTTTCAGAGTAGAGTTGTTCTAAGAGGGTTCTAAACTGGTTCCATCTTAGACATTCTTTAGATTGACTCTGTTCTATCTTAACTAGAATATGTATCTACATATTTATTCTAGTTAAAGAAGAACAACTAGTCACCTTTATTAGAACTGTTAGTAACATTAGAAGTGTCTACATCTACTCAGAACAGTAGTATAAGGTAACTGTAAGACTTAGAACACTGATCAAACACTAGTGTCTACTCTAATTAGTTAATAGTAGGGTTGTAAGCCTTAAACTATTTAAATCTGATAAAGACATCTGTCTTTCTAAGGTTAGTAACTCTAAACTTAATACTTTCCTTATAATCCTAAATAGTCATCCATAGTTGGACAAACTTAGTGATTTAACTATTCTAGTTTAGAGTTCTGTCTGTATTATATACTAGGATTAAAAGTAGAACACATTGAGTAGGGAGGTAGTGTTTTTACACAAAAGCCTTATTAATATACAAACTAATACATTCACTATCTACTAGAGCTGTTGTTTGGATCTGAGAGAATCTTAAGAAGGGAGCTAAGAGGATAAGGACTTAGAGCTAGTGTCTAGAACATTCTCAGATAAACTACTACTTGTTCTGAAGGGAATATACAGTTTGTACAGTCTTGTTGTCTAGAAGGGTAAGTATATACACTAACATTTCCTTATTAACCTCTCTCTTTCAACAAGGACAGACTTATACTCTTAGTTGTGAACTCAGCTAAGACTATCCCTACTTAATACTATAGACAAACTACTAAGTAGTAAACAAAGCTAAGTAGCATTCTGAATGTTCTAAGATCTTAGAACACAGAAGTAGTAGGTTGGATTGTACAGATTTAGACTTAGATAAAGTGTAAAGAGAAGAATTAAAAGAATCAGAAGAAATAGGAGAACTATTTACTTTTGTTTCTGACTTTTTTCTTTCTAATAAATAATTTTGTTGATTTATTTTTTCTACTTTTTCTACTTTTTCTGCTTTTCTTACTTTATTTACTTTTAATCCTATAGTGTCTATTAAATCAAAAGTAGTTATTAAAAAATCTGAGTTATAGCTCTTTAGTGTTACATTTACTGTTAGGCCTCTACAAAATTCTAGAGTATATAGTTAGAGTCTAGAAGTTCTAAAGTGACTTCCAGATTTACAGAAAAGGCTTCTTACTACAAATCCTGCTTGTCACTTGTTATTACTCTAATAACCTAACAGATATACTATTACTTTTACAGGTAGTCCTTAATCTAGTGCCCTGACTTTCTGTAGGTAAAGTATGCTCCTTACTTTTAGGCTTCTCTAATGTCTATTAGAACAGATTGATTACAAATTATGGGTGGATTAATCTAAGAGCTTGAAACTGTTAGAGTTAGACATATGTATAAGTGTTTCATACAGACTTAATGTATCTAAGTTATAGCTTAGTTAAAGGAGATAGTGTGTGTTTTCCACTTAGTGTAAGTAACTAGTTCTAACATTATTCTAAGAATCTTATCAACCAGTTCTAGGTGAAGAGCTTTTTCAAGTATTCTAATAAGGACATTATTAAACCTAAGTACAAATCCTACCTTCTAGGCTAGGATATTGAACTCCTAAAAAAAGGTATTGGTAGAATGTTTGTCCTGTCACAGAGACACAAGCTTGTTCTACACATTATACTTCTTATTCAGATTAATAAAGGAAGTACAGAGCTACTCTATAAATTCTGAATACAACTTGTTATTCTAAAGTCAGATTAGGCTTCTGATTCAATAGCCTTCAATCTAGTTCTGAGCCTAGGTGGCTGTATTACCTTCCTTTATGAAGGAGAGGATAAATAGGATGTAATTAAGATCTGAGAATAGATTAGTCAAAGTAGTAGCTATGTATAGTTTAACTTAGTACTAGAAGTCCTTAAAGTACTATTTATTAAAGTCTAAAAGGTAGGCTACATACACTTTCTTTCTAGAACAGGTTACAACTTCTAGAACAATTAGAACAGGTTCTAAAGAGGTTAGAGGTATGTAGTTAGTAAAGGCCTCTTAGATAGAGGTCTGTATGTATTAAGCTAGTTCTACTTATAACTACTAATCTGGTAAAACAGTAAGGGTGGCAGTTAGTACAGGAGGGTCTATGTTTACACTATAAAGGGATCAACACTAAACTAAAAGGGGTAATAAATAAAAGAAGGGTGGTAAAAGTTTAAAAGGGTTTAGAAAGTTTAAAATTTAAAAATGTAAAAGGGTTAGGACAAAGGAAAGAGATTGACACAATAGTAAGTACTAATGCTTGAAACATAGGAGAGTTGTAGAGTAGTAATGAGTAGTCTTAATCTGATGTCAGTAACAGTGTAGAGGGGACTTAAAGGCTTAGTAAGGGGACCTAGGCTACAACTATCTTACACAACAGAAATACAGAATGTAAACACTAGAATGTAGTCAGAACTTACAGAACAGGCAGAGAGAGAGAGTGAGACAAGAGTAGAGTATATAGAGTAAGTCTAAGAGTATAGGACTATCTAGAGTAGACAAGATCAAGACTACTAGACCAGTCTGATCTTGTACACCTATATATACTAAACTATACAAGAGTACTCAGAGAGTATGAACTACTAAGAATGATAAGCTACAAAGAATGAAAGAAAGGGGAGGTCAAAGATAAAGGTACAAAGAATGAAGGGATAGACAAAGGGTAAGAGACTATAGAATGAACAAAGAAAGAAAGGGGTAGTCAAAGGAATAGAATGATAAAGTAAGGAAGAGTAGTAGTAAGAGTTAGTACACATATAGTCTATAGACAGTGCTCCTGAGGGACAGAAGTCCTAAGTTCTAGTACAGAAGAGTGTAGAACCCTTAGAACTGAAGGTACAGGAGTAGAGAATTGTAACACAATTAGTAAGCACATACTTGTAACAATGTCTATGTACAACTACTCCTAAGGTACAATCCTCTCTCTGACCCCTTACATACTTTCCTTCCCCACCTACTATTCTATACTTAATGTGTATTTACATTACCTAGTACTGTTTATAACACTGTTTCAAATAACAGAAGTAGTAGCCTACTACTTACCCCTTCTAAGTAGAGTCTGTCCACACCTTCTACTTCACCTCCTCCCTTTAAGCCAGAATGTCTTAGAGATACACCTTTACAGTCATCCCTAACAACTCAGTTTACTGTACCTCTACTTGTAAGATGTAGTCAGAGTATGTAATGTACAGATACAAACACAGCTTTGTCTACAGTCCAAATCATCTTGTTCAACACTCTAGATCACAACCCTGGTGCACTGCTCACACTTGCTACACACTATTACAATACATTCATCTCCTTACTCTAGTTAGCTACTCACATTAATACTAATACTCATACTTACACCTTTAGCCAGACAGTCTCACAACTTCTCTCACAAGCACAACCTTAACCTACACAACATGTACAACCTTACAACCAACAGGCACACACAATTCAACTTTCAGGGACCAAGCAACAACTAAGTCTTAGTGACTAAGACCATATCAAATGACCTAAGAATGCATTCATTGTCTTCTGTTGTGAATACTGTTTGAAAAAGAACAAGGTAGAGGCTGTACTACCTGTAGAAGACAACCTGGTTGTACAACATTAGTGTCAAGCTGACCTCTCCAAAACAATCTTATACTAATAGTGTTTGCTGTTTGTAGAGGAACATAAATACTGGGGCAAACTTACAAAGTAGAGGAAGAAAGAGCACAAGGAGATGAATAACCATGGTACATCTATTAGTTGTTGTGATTTGCTAAGGTAGTGATAGTTTTGTTTCTGTTATAATGTGTTAATATTATGTACTGTTCAGTGTTGTTAGTAAAGAATAAAATATTTAAATAAAATATATATTGTATAATAAGCTATTCAGATAAGATATAAGCTGTAAATTAACTTATTTAAGGATTATAAGATAGCAGAAGAAGTATTATGCCATATCAGAAGAGGGGTGCAATATATACCATTATAGACTTTCCTAAGAGCTATAATTCTTATATCCTTATTGTAAGGACATGTAATGTTTATTAATTCTCATAATATAAATCTGTCTTATTACAACCTTATAGTATCTTTTATATATCTTATCCAATGAGGGGTGCAATAAATGTTATTATGGATAATATTGTTTTTTTACATATTATATATGCATATAAGAGTATATAATAATTAAGACTTTTTCCTGACATAACACAGTGCAAGTCTAGGACAAGTCTGGCAGGTCCATTGGTAAGATTCACAGTCACACAAGTTCAGTCATGTCTGATAGTCACACAATGATCCTTTGTGAAAGCTGTTGGGATCCTGATGCAGAATCTTTCTTGACAAGTACAAGGTGCACATAGATTTTTTCACATACTGCTAATCCATTGACCATTCCAGACAATGGTTGACTCCGAACATTAGTCAGAAGCCTGTTCTTGTGGGTTGCTTCCAGAACATCAAGCATGCCTACTATGTGCCACAGGCCAAGTTCACATTCTAAACAAACAGAAAGGACTGTTCAAGACATTTGTATGGTCAAATGTCTGTTATGGGAAGGACCAGATTACAGTTGATTATGTATCAATGCCATTGAGAGGAAGTCAGAATTCTATGTAGTTTCAAAATAACAATCGAAAGCATGTATTGTAATGGCATTTGTAAATAGATGGTTGAGTCTGAGATTTGCAGCTCTTTTGCTATACTAGGCTTTCCGGAGAATAATTTTGTCCACCTGCATACTCTGTTGCAAATCATAACCAGACTTCTTGAACATGTCAGATAATTTATAGTCGAAGGTTATACGTTGCAGAAAGTCACTGCCGTTCGTCCACATTAGGGTGATTCTCTGCGATATCGTCCTCATCATCATCCTCGTCCACAGCAGCACTCCACGGCACATCAGGTAGTCTCATCCCAACCGCAATTGTAAAGCATACAAGAGCAATCATAACAAAGTACACTGTCATGCCTCCTAGTTTTTGCCACACACTTGCTCCAGCATTCACACCTTTAAATGCAATTTCTTCTTGCGCAACCCCAAACGGCTGACTGAAAAGTGTATTGAGGTAAAATGTGAAAGCTGGCTCGCCAGCTTCTCCTTCACCGGGTAGCCACCCTCCGTCCTCTCCAGTTCCAGCATCTCTCCCGTATTCCCAAATTAATCCTCTCGAAAATAGAGAAGAAGCAAAATACGGTCCGATGCATCGCATGATCGATACTGAACATTGTGCAAAACCGTTAACTGCACCAAGGGTCTTTTTACCACGTCTTCTCGTTACCTTTTGTTCCTGAGTTTTCGGCGTCTGGCGAACTTCTGGTTGAGCATTTTGATTTTGGGTGATTCTTGGGGACGATGGAGTTGCATCTGTATACCTATTGTCAGTAGAATGATTTACGTGTACAAGTGTCGGGTTTGAGGAGGGTGAAAGCGTCGGACGAGTGGGACGAACAGCATCCGCGGCTTGTTTTTTCTTCAAGGAGATCGATTCGGCAGCAGCCGTGATACTGTTTAATAATATCAATGAATATGCTTGATCCGAACTGGTGTTGGGATGAAAAGAGGAAACCACTCACAAAATATACACACTCCCGTAGCACATGCTTATGCCCAAGGCCAGGCACAGTTGAAGTAATACGAGAAAGATGAGGACACCGCTCAGTTTAGTGGGCACGCTGTCCTCCCGGCTCTTCATCCTGTCTTCTGCGTGAACCACTGCACTCATCACAGGGAAGAGTGCGAAAATCGGGATTGAAGCTGTAATACCGATTAAATAGACTCTCTTATTCCCTAGTCTCTTAACCAAACGTGCGAAAAACCCAACTTGAAAGAAACCGTTTGCTATTCCAAAGCAGGAGAGGAATATGCCGATTGTGTGAGGTGGAATACCGAGACCGCCGAGCGAACGTGGAGTGGCGAAGAATACTGGTTGCAAAGCGCGAAAGGCGATGTCGACGAATGCAAGAAGTGCATAAACTGCTGTGCTGAGTAGAACAGGCGGAGTAAGCAGTGCACGCAACGGTGGTTCTTTTGGTGTTGCACCGGCTTTGAGGCTAGGCGAACCAGAAGACGATCGCATCCCAGGTAATATGCGGAGAAATTGAGTGCGAAACGAGAAACCTGATGGATTCGTCTCCTTCAGCCATAACAGAGTCACTATCAACATCAAAACAGTGAACGTTGCGGGTATTGCGCAAGGCAAGAAGTACGGGTACTTCTCCAAGAAAGCGTTTCCGCCGAAGACATTAGGAAAACGCTCGGTTGGGTGAGAAAATAAGCCGCCAAAAAGAGGACCAAGTGTGGCACCTGTTGACCAGGCGATGGGTTGGTACGAGAACGCCCGGGCGATATTTGTGCTGTCTGTCAACTCTCCAATGATACTTTTGAAGACAGTGACATTGCCATTCAATGCGCCGGACTGAGTAACAAATAAGTATGCCAGTGGTATATAAATAGAGGGGAAGATTTAGATGTACCAATGAACGTGCAATGACAAGCGCGGGGAAGGTTCTTGCAAGCCCAAAAGAATACATGGAGAGTGCGAGCCCGGAAAGGCCGACGTAGATGACAGGTTTACGTCCGATGCGATCCGAGATGCGGGACCAATGAAGGACAGTTAATGCTTGTGTAACAAAAAACACACTTTCCTGTAACGAGAACAATTAACGTGTGGCAAGAGCATACTACAGTTTACTAGGCAGACGCACCATGATTCCGACGAAGTGTCCTATCTTCTTGTCATCGCCACCCGTAACGCCCGTTTCGCGGACGAGCTGCGGCACGAACGGGAAAATGACCTACAAGTCACAAGAGCCTTGAGAATGATGTTTAAGGCAAGTACGACGGAAGCAAACCTGCGACGACATCGGCTCGGCCAATTGTAAGACGAGAGCAATCGAGAACTGACCCCATGGGATCGGCGTCTCCTTGTCGCTCGTTCGTTCTTTTGCATCGTGTTCTGTTCGTTGGTCTCGGAGGAGAGGTGTCTCCTCATCAGTCACTCTCATCTCGCCGGTGGTTGTAATGTGGCGAGGCGAGGAAGGAAGATGGCCATGCTTGAACAGAGTGCAGGAGCCTTAAGAGGTAAAGCAGTGAGTCCGTTGTGCAAAGTGTAAATGTTGCGATCACGTGGATCTCGCACTTGAAGGCCCTTGGTCCTTGGTGACGGAGTTATTCTAAGCGTATGCAACAAGCAAAGCACAATCCTGGGCGCTATATGCTGACAAGTGAGCCTGTATCAGCCTTTGGGTTTATCAAGGTAGGGTCAGGGCTTACAAGCCCCTCTACGGGTAGAAGAGTTGGAAAGAAAAAATGGAGCTGAGAATCAAGAGATGCCTTTTTCTGGAGGGACGCGGTCATGTGACCTCGCCTTGCCTATTCAGCCATTTACTCCGCAGGTATCGAATATTCCGTCTTTGCTTTTTTATCTCGACCATCCATGTCCCACCGGCGTGTGCAAAGATCACCCACAGGACATGTTTTACTCCCTGCGTCAAACAACTCTAGCCCAGACTCCACAAAACCTCTATTAATCCCTCGCGATGTCTTCTCCTGGACGTTTGGCCGTGGAACTGTCGTAGGTACTTCTTTGATTCTTCAAAGGCAGCTCTGATACGCATGCATTCTCAGGTCTGGACAATATGGCCTGCTGTACTACTTCACACTGTATTTGCAGTGGGTACGTGAAAATAAAATAATTTCAGGGCTTTTTGCCAAGTCTCCATCCCAGTTGTAACTTCCATCTCCCTGGCCTCAAAGGTCAGTCTCGCCGCTCCACAAGTCATGATCACCGTGCTCGGTGTCGTTATTGGCTTCGTAATATCATATCGTGCTATGAGTGGGTGCGTGTGATTGATACCCGCCACTTAGTTACCAGCTGACTGTGCTAGCAGTTACGACAGATATTGGGCTGGTCGAACGAGCTGGGGCGATATCATCAAGACATCGCGAGCGTTGACCAGGCTAATCTGGATCCATGTTCCGTTAAAATCTGAAAAGAGCTCCTCGTCCGAAGACAAGGTGCAGGTTGAAAAGCTCTTACGAGAAAAGCGACAGGCACTGGACTTAGTTGAAGCGTAAGTGACGCCACGGCAAGTTAAATGTCGAATTACTTAGGCATATCTAGCTTTGCCGTTGCCGTAAAGCATCATCTTCGAGGTCATACATACCACCTCTGCATAATTTCGCAAGCTGAAATTATATTTGTTTTGAACAGGTGAGACAGGCATCTACTACGAAGACCTCTACCACCTCGTGAAGCCGCTGCACAATGTTCGTTCTCTCCCTACAACATGATGTGGCGTCTTTGACCTACCTTCAAGCTTAGCATTCCCACTCGCCTCATATACAAAAGCCATTACCCGCCCGTCCGGATCAAAGTTCACCTCAAGTAGTGAACACTGCTGTCAACGTCTCCTCACCTCTAGCTACAACACACTATGTTCCTACATTACCTCGGGATCCTGCTACTCCTGCAGTCAATGAATACGGTACTTTCCATTCTGAGTCCTGCTACAAATACGATAGTTCCGAAAATCCAACTCTCTTTTCTTCAACTCCAAGACACTCGTATGGTCCTCGCATACTCTATGAGCTTGTTCCTTTTTCGTCACTCTTCGTTATGCTCGATTCGTCCCTTAGACAAAGTAGAAACCAACCTGCACATTTCTTCCCACATCCCGATGACGAAGATGCGGTGGAGAAAGAGGAGCTTAGGCGATGGTATGCTGGCCCATGCGGGCGAAAATTCAGGCCAATTGTTCCAGGGAAGGGGAGAAACGTGCCTCTTGAGATTTTGTACTGCTTAAGTGAATGGTTAGCTGATCTCGAGGGCAGAGGTACTGTTCCTGGTGAGAGTATTATCCCTTTCCTATATGCTGCTTCTGAACTTCTACATCCGGTTCAGCGAGTCCGCTTGGAGGAATGTACCTTTGTCTCACAGCATTAGGGGATAGTCTCACTGGTACGTATAATACTAATATATATCACTTGGACACCTAATTCTGATCGCATTATAGCTGTGGAGCAAATTTTGACAACGCCTTTACCCTTGTAAGAATAATGCGTTCGTATATCCTCCCATCCATCTGATCGAGTAACGCTTGATAGTGTCTATTCGGCACACATCCGACAGTGAGTATTCTTCATGCTCTTAAGTTATCGATGATGACGGAGATATATCACCTTTGTAGATGCGTCTGGCTCTACCTATTCCTCCTTCCATTTCAGCTCATCGATCAATTCGGATGGTACACAATTCCTGGAGTATGTGTTGCTGCGTTCTTCTACATTGGATTTCTTGCCGCTGGAGAGGAGATAGAGCAACCTTTTGGATATGACGAGGTACAGTATCTACTTTTCATCACTCGTCCTATTACTTTAGCTCATCGCTGTCTAATACCAACCTTTCCAGAACGACCTCAATCTGGACCTTTTTTGTCATCATATCATACATGAAGAGATTGAAGCTCTGAAAAGAAGGGACTGCAAAAACAGTCACATTCCTATGTAAAAGAACTTGCACAGCATACCAGTCTAGAAGGTGATCCTCTTGAGTTTTTATAGCCAGTTATACTCATGATACAGTGCAGAAATCGCTATTTATTAGCTAAGCTAAAAGATAGAGTGTACATGATAATTTTAGAGAATAAATACAGTCATAACATCTAATGTGACCTGGGTATAGAGTATTTCCGTTCTGCCAGTTGTCGAGTGTAGGAAATAGTTACAAAGAACATTAACGGTTCAAGCCAAAACCTGTGAAACAGAATTTTCACAGTAATGTGGACCAATTACAACTGTATTTCTTTTGGAGCAAACAATTAATCAGAGAACGTCATCAGTTACAAAAAATGAGGAAATGGTATTTCCATGGACTGTTTCATTCACGTTGTTATGGAGTCGACAGTCACTAGCAGGCTGCGGAAGGAGCTGGGATGAGGGAAGTAGAGATAATGTAGTAGGTATCAGTTTGTATTTCAGGCAAATTAATGACCGGTCAACGCATAACATCAATTTATCAACGTTTACATTTACGACATATAGAACTGTAAAGAGACCCAAGGGCTCATATTCTGACTATTCTTATTCTTATCACAACGTGGGCACTTATGTGGATTTTATTCAAACTTGATCAGCTTCGAGTCCTTAAATGAAGAAGAGTTGCATACCTTAGTTCTCCTCCCAAGTACCAGTACCATCGACCGTAGTTGCCGGGTTGACTCCAGGTGCTTTGATGGCTCCCGAGATGACAGGACCGTCTCCAAGTTGTAGATGGAAGTTCAATATTCCTATAACGCCTTGGAATACACGCGTGGATGTCAGCTGATTCTCGGTATCGTATTTCAATTTCACGTCGCTCGTTGTGAAGCTCTGGACACTCGGGGATATTTCCATGCTGAATATACGACGAATGCCGTTGATAACGAAAACGGCTCTGAGCCTGGTCTCTGTCAGCCAGGTCAAAGATCCATCGACGGTAGGCATGGTTGTGTTCTGTGGTTTATTGGGCGTGAGTATCAATCTAATGATATTGTCGAACAATACTAACGATTGAAAAGTTTGTAGAGACGAGAGGGATTTTTTTGTGTTAGCAAAGTGAAAGAATGCAGGCGTATTTGGGTGTCCAGAGGGTCTGTTCTATCGACCTTGTATATCGGATTACAAACATCGGGAAAGTTGTGTGCCGGACGGTCTTCACGATTTTTCGAGGAAGCCAGGGTGTATACATTAGCGCCCGTAGATGCACCTCTGGCTCGGTCTTATTTGTTCTTGTTTGTAAGATAGCCAGCGTTTCGGGTTTTTCTATACAGGACTGTTGAGCTTCCATGCAAAGCAGACATATGCCATACCTGTTCCAAAACAGTTCATCTTTTGGCTATCGCTTCGATGTGCCTTGCAGCGTTTCGTGTATTCTTTGAGGCTGATCCAGCAGAAACCGCTAGAAAATATATCTATACTCAACTAGCAGTCAGCGCTGTGCAGTGTTGTACAATATAGTGACGACCGACATGAAGTACTCGTCTTAGCTCTTTCTGCAATAATTACAGTAAGACATGCGCCAATATCAATATGCGCGAATGCTTCCCTTCCTGCGATGATGTCTTCTATTAAAATAGTAAACAAATACGAAGAGAGTAAAAAGCAAGTGCAAAGACATACCAGCACTACCGGACTAAACCTTTGTGGTTTAGACACCACAGTTGAGCACCTATGTAGCTTCCCAAACATTTGAGCGCTTATGAAGAAAACACGTGGATTAGCTAGTAGTATCAGATAAATTCATGTCGCCTTCAATCGATCAAATGAGTACGAGTCAGCATCGTCTGCGTTGGCATAGGCTCTTTGAGGGACATGTATTTATTACATATGGTCAGTCGTTGATCTCGAGCTCCACTTCTATTTTCACTTCAAATTATCAGCTGAGCTCTAAGAGTAGTCGAAATACAGTCTTGTCTCCTGACAAAACACTGTCAGTCATAGCCTAGTCGCAAGGATATTATCTCTGAGACTGCAGTCTCGTAAACAGCATTAAACAGCATTACAGTTGGTGAAGCCCTCAAGTCTATTTACTCACCCATATTTGAAGCCGGCAAGCGCTCAGCCAGACAGGTGGAGAAAGAACACATGGAATACAGCCATGTAGGTAACGCACACATTGCTAGTGGACAAATATTATCCATAGACAGTGCCGGCATTGTTGTAACCCCTACGATTCAATTTGTCTTTTCTTTTTACCTTGTTCAGTCATAGTCCCGCAGATATCTCTCAGGCTACGAGCGAAAGCAATAGAAGGACGCGTAGTATCTTCTTTTATCTTGTTTATTATGTCAAAGTGTCATTGCCAGCTTCCCTGCTATCGGGACTTTTATCAACTCGGCGCTTGTTGAGGGAGTTATATGAGCGCTTATTTTGACGGGTGCTTGAGTAGAACTTAAGGAATCCCCGCTTGCAGTCCGGGACATGCATGAGGCCTGCACACTATATTGGACGAAGAAGACTTGCAAGTCTGGGCGCTAGCGAGTTGTCGCAATAAGCTAGAAAGTGGCGACTAAATGCAAAAAAAAATGAGTAAAGGTGAGGTGAACCATGACACGTCTTTTGACAGATTAATACGCGTGGAATATAGACCACACTCACCCGTCGAGGTATATACAAGACACACTTGCCAGAGTCCACTAGAACCATCCCAGCCAGTTGGGGATAGAGGAAATTTTTCATCAAACAATAGAACGCTCCACGCAAGTGCTGTCAGGCGTACTGGGCGCAACCGAAATTGTCCATTCCCAAACGTATCATGGGAATCAGAAGGATATCTTCTTGAACATCGGGCGAGCCATCACTAAAGTTCTGCGAAAGCGTATCTCTGATTATTTTAGCAAACGGAACGACCGTCGCGTGTTCATTATCGTACGGTCATTGAGTGTATCACCTAAGTGTAAGTGTCCGAATTGTAATAACTTGAAGAATGCGTTGCAGTTCTTTCCTAGGGACTGTTTTCCCTCAGTCTCTACAACCTGAAATTCGTTGATCAGATGAGCATTGGTTAGATATACGTGAAATGGGGGGAACAATGTGTTGAGCGGAGAAGAGATATATAAAACAATATGCCAACTCGTATAACATCATCTCTTCCGAATTTTTCTCTTCGTCGGCGTATCCATCTCGATATCCCTACCATCGTCCATGAGAAGGGTCATCTGACGCGGCCCTCCTAGGAGCCCACCGGCCTTCCGTACCCCTACCGATTGAGAGGACAGCCCCTTGTTGCTCTCATCCTCCATTTTCCCAAATGACATCACGTTCGAGGAACTAAAAGAGTCCATATAGCTCTCGTCGGCATTCTCGTCAAGGGCTTCCTGATGTGACGGAACATTTTCCTGAGTTCGAGAGCGAGTCGTAAATGGACCAATATCCTTCACGTCACGGAGGCTTTGTGCTGCAGGATCGTGCACAACTTGCCTCGCATCTAGTCGGTCAATCAACATCGGTGATAATGGCGACAGGGAACTTCCTTTTTCCAACTTATCATCACACCTACGACTAGCGACTGGTGTATCTTCGATGTAGACATCTGCAGGATCACTCGAACTGGTGGGCGGAGGGCTCGGGACAGATTTAGCTGCCATAACGAAACGTAACTGTTCGTGTTCGTCCGGATTCGAGGTGTCTAAGCGGCTTCTCTTTACAGGCGTCTCTTTAATGAGCGTCACTCCAATATCGCGTTTTAGCTTAGCTTTCGTTTGCTTTGATTCATCTGCCATCGGAACCTTGATCTTCGACTGTGCCTGCACTTTCGTCCTCTCCTTGAAGATGCGACTCATACTGACCTCTCGACTAAGACCACGTTTTGGTCCGACCAGGTTTGCGCGTTGAGTGGCTTCATCCTGTGCGAGCGAGACGCTTAGCGAACGACTTCTGCTCCGCTGCATCGATGATTTAGAAGAAGCCGCTACGGAAGTTGCTCGGGAGGACAGAGCCCGAGACACAGATGGCGCTCGAGATCCCACTCGAGAATTCCTACCATCCACGAGTGTCTCGATATCGGAATCATCTGCATCTGACAAGGCGGGTTCAGGATACAGTTTGGAACGGAACAATTCGCATTGTTCATGAAGCGATGTCTTGAACCTACACGTAGTGTCAAAGCCAACGGATAATTTACAGTCAATGGTGGTTACTTACAATGGTTCGACAATGTCTTCGAAAAATTTCTGCGTCCAATGTCGTTCCACCTTCCGTTGCCCTTGGTTCGAGCCCGAGGCCTGAGAAGTTGGGTGGGCGCTATCAAGAGATGCAGTCAGGCACCACACCGCAAGTTTGTCCATGTAGCTTTCGAGAAGCTGTTCGGTTGACTCTGGCGGTGCGGCTTCTTTGTTCTTCTTTCTTTTCTTCTTTGGCGACTCCCTCGCTTGGTCTGGTCTTGCGCCAGGGAGACTTAGCTTGAGCATGATGAGTAGAATCTGAATCATTGCCCTACGAAAAGACTTTAAGTCGAGAAGGAAAACTCCTAAGTATTTTGACTCACTCGCGTCTCTCGAGTCGTTCCAACCACGATTTCCTCCACTTATCTTCATCGACCTTGCCTTCCTCTTCATGTTCTGATTTCTCGTGCTCCCAAGCATACCACATCATCATCTCTTCTTGCTCGCCGGCACCACCACCTTCTACAAGTATCTGCACTAGCTCTATCCTGTACTTATCGGAAGCTGTTCGACTGGATAGCAATACTGGATCGAGAAGAGAATGTAGAGGATGAGGTAAAGACGCATTTTTGTCGTAGTTTGATGCGACCCGTCGAAGGGACGAGATAAGGTACGCGAGAGGGTTAAGTGACTAGCTTTGTGTATTAGTCCATTTTATTCAAATGCCTTAGCAATTCATGCTCACCTCAGGAAGCCAAAGAGTCTCGAGATATCTCCGTATTACAAAATTCTGGTCCGTGGCATCCTGGTTCAAGCTTAGAACGATTAGCTATATTTAAGTGCGCGTACAATACACTCACTCACAATGGATAATCTCGGTGAAGCTGCGCTTCAGCCGTTGCAGCCCATGGCACTGGACACGAGTCCTCCAGTGAGTATGCGAGTGGCGCAATCATTGCTGTTTCCATGGCGCTTACAATCCAAGTTACGACGAAAATACGCGTCACCGAAGATTGGCTGCTAATATTATTGGATTTCGGATGTCCTAGAGCGTAGATGAAGCGTTCGACGCGTCCAGTGAAGGAGAACAAAAGATGATGATTAGGTGAGCTGAAATGGTAACGCGATCACGTGGAATGCACGCGTATTTCCCATCACAGCCATCAGCCATCAGCCGCCGCAAAATCAAATATCCAAGCCGCATTGCTCTTCTCATTCTAGATATCACCATGTCCCAGAACAAGAAACGATCATCTACAGGCCATGTGCTGCTCCCTGCATCTAGTGATCCAGGTCCGGATGCTGCCAAACCTCTACTGCTTCATCGAGACGTGGGCTCCTGGACTTTTGGCCGAGGAACTGTAGTAGGTATCTTTTTAGGTCTTCCGAATTAACATCCACACAGCTTCTACCTTAGGTATGGACAATTTGGCCTGCTGTTCTTCTGCATACAGTATTCGCTGCAGGTATATATTACAGTCACATCCACAAAGCCGGCTGTTGAATTGGAACTTGTAGCCGTAACCACTATATCTCTGAGAACTCAAGTATATCTTGCTGTTCCGCCAGTTTTAATTACCGTACTCGGTGTCGTCATTGGCTTTGTGATCTCATATCGTGCTATGAGCGGGTATGCTAGTTTCGTCTGCATCGTTCCACTCCGACTCATCTTTGTTGCCAGCTATGACAGATACTGGACCGGCCGAACGAGTTGGGGCGATATCATCAAAACATCGCGAACAATGAGCAGGCTCATTTGGATACACGTCCCACTCAAGGTCGAAAAGCAGTCTTCTTCGATGGATAGAATCCACGCTGAAAATTGCAAACACGAGAAACGGCAAGCACTGGATTTGATCGAAGGGTAAGTACACAACATGATGATGAGATGATACAGTATTCAAGTAATCTAGCTTCGCTGTCGCTGTAAAGCATCATCTTCGAGGTCCGATACAGTTTTGCTATATCTCAAGGATTCTCATCTCATGTCGATTAGGTGAAGCTGGAATCTATTACGAAGACCTATACCATCTCGTGAAGCCGCTTCATAAGGTTTGTCTCAGCTTGCCACAATGAAAGCCGATCTGATCGATGTCTCGTATTAAGCATTCACGAGTTTCACACGCCCCGAAGTCAGGATTCTCTCATTTACATTCGCACGTGCCTCAAGCAAAAAGCTCCGCTTTGGACAATGCTTCGCCTTCTCTCCCCTCACATCGTATTCCAACATTACCACCAGATCCGATTATTCCTGCAATAAACGAATATGGCGCACTCCGCTCTGACTCATGTTCCTCCGCAGACGAGTCCGAACGTCCTTTCCTTTTCCCTTCTTCACCTCCTCGCGTATCTCGACCACGTATCCTTACTGAACTGGTCCCATTCTCATCGTTCTTCTCTTCCGTCTCTTCATTCTTCACGCGGAGGAAGAAATATCCCACGGACTTACTTGCTGATAATGATGAGGAGGATGTTAATGATGGAGAACTGAGTCGACGATGCGCTGCGTCGCGCGGGCGAAAGTTTAGACCAGTTCTTCCCGGCGGAGGCAAAAACATCCCTTTGGACATCTTGCGGAACTTGAGTGAATGGATTGCTGTCTTAGACGAACGAGGAACTGTTTCTGGTAAGTTCATTTGATCCGCGCAGTTTCTCTATCCAACATCTGATGATCCGATCAGGAAGTCCTCTAGGAGGGATGTACTCATGCATTGCGTCGTTTGAAGATAGTCTTTCTAGTGCGTCTTCTGTCTCCTTATATGTGTGATCTTTTGATTCAATTCCGCATATAGCGCTAGAGCGAATCCTAACGACACCGCTTCCCTTGTAAGCAACACGCCCTAATGCACTACATCCTCATTTACGAAGTAACTATCTCTAGCGTATACTCGGCACATATCCGACAGTGAAGCTTTTCAGCTAGTATATATCCCTGAACGAACAACTAACAATTATGACGTAGATGCGTCTGGCTCTACCTCTTCCTCCTTCCTTTCCAGCTTATTGACCAATTCGGCTGGTACACGATTCCCGGCGTATGTATCGCTGCATTCTTCTACATTGGCTTCCTTGCCGCTGGGGAGGAGATTGAACAACCATTTGGGTATGATGAGGTGTGAAATCCATCTTCATTTCCTCGTGAGCAGAACGATGACGCATACTCCAAAAGAACGATCTCGACCTCGACCTATTTTGTCATCACATCATTCATGCGGAAATTGAGTCCCTGAAACGTAGGGACTGTGCGAACAATTATCTCCCTGAGGTTACCGTTAATCCGGACAGAACCACTGTCAATTCTCCCATGCAAAATGGCACTGAGAGTTTGGCTAACGGATCAGGTAACGATGAACATGTATCACTAATATCTGTATAAGTACTTTTGTTTAACTTGTTGTCTGACTTGGAAATTTACGGACTGTATATGCTTTCTGACTTTGCCACAATAAGAGACTGGCTGCCAATACACGAACTAAATATACCCCTGCATAAATGACTCGACAGCTCTCAATTAAGTTAGTATTACGTAATTCATTTCACACCGACCTTATTGTCATTTCGCTTATATCACAAAGGTTTAATCTCTACTTCTTACTATCATCACTATAACAATGGGAAACCCCTATGTGGGTAGGGAGCCAACGCATATACGCGTTACTCCTCCTACTCTTATGCTTTTGGGCTCTGATTGCAGTGGCCAGACAGGAGAAAGGGTGGCTATGGGTAAACGAACCTTTACGAGGGCTCCTGACGACCATAAACGATATTGGCAAGAGATGGTAGGGACATACCTGCGGAACGAAATGAAATTGGCTCCTGAACTTCGTGCGCTTTGCACATTTGTACTTCCGTGTTGTAATCGGACTTATATTTGTTACTCTTTAGGACGTGACCTGATATTCTCGCTGGAGTTTCCTAGAAGCTATGAACTATATGGCAATATGAGAGCTAATGGAGCCTTTGACTACTACTTAATCGGTACGTACGTCATAGTTAAAGCCTTAATTAGGTGATAATTGCGCTCCTAGGTTTTCATAGAGACGGCTCTGTAGAAAAGTTTGACTCCCCAGCCGTATGTATCAATCGCCAATATTTTACACAAAGGTAGCATGACACATTCCAAACTTACCTCTCTGCAGAACTTTGTCCTACACGCCAAATGGCTCGCATACGGTTGCCCACCGAGTATTTGCGGATGCAAACCTTGTTCAAGAAGGTCGCAAAGAGATATTAGTAATCAGCTGACGCTTGGGGGCGCAAAGATATCACAGCCGCGCGACGAATCTACTACGACAAAGGCATCCGCAGCTAGGAGATTCAAGGAACATAAAAAGCAGATTGCTAGGAAGCCATATGAAAGGATGTAATCTTTAGATACTATGGGGTAAATGCACTGAAGAATTGTTTTGTGTAATTCAATACCAGCGGCTACGGGTGAGTCGGGCAATTCAACATCACTGTGCATACAGTCTGACTTGCCTCAGGCAATCACGTCAGAAACTATTTATAAACTTGAAACCCCCTTTTCTCATATGGACGCGAGTAGTGAAACTGGCTGAAATATACTTTTATAATGCCGAGACAAGCTTGGCTTATGAAGAGGAGTGTTGGCCGGCATTTGTGTTTATCTGACAAAATATCAAGCAAAGGGAAATTCAGAATCTTCGGTTTATGAATTTATTGAGCATTGTTGTTGCACTACAATTCTTAAAAAGAAATTATACAGTATAACTAGTGTCCTTTCCCTGGGGTGTAGTCTCTTTCAAATCCGCTACTGTTTTCCAGAGTGCAAAGGCAGATGGGTTCGCATACCAAAACTCCCATATAAGATACATCGGACTTCCGCCTAGTCTCAAAATCCACGCAGTCATGAAGCTCCACTTCTTGAAGTTCTTTACATCACCAAGCCCGCCATATATATGCGCAAGGTGCCGTGAAGCCTGCATACGCTCGCCATAACACGCCTTCTCGCCGTCCATCGCGTGTAACATCTGCATGCAATACTCAATATCACGACTCGCAAATTGAGTCGCAACTGTCGCTCTCGACTGCGGACAACCAGTCGTCCACTCGTCCATACGTTTATCATGCGATGTCATGGCTGAATCTGTAAATTTCCTTGTCTCCTCCTTAGCTTTGTTCTCAGGAGTGTCAGCACATTCTGTACATGTACAGCGAAAGCCGTAGTTTCTCCTAAGAATACCTAGACGGACTACTCGCGTGTCGAGGAGGCTAGTGTAGCTGATGCAAATCTCTTGCCCCAGATCGATGTCGCATACTGCAAGAAGTTTGACTGTAACTGGATGACTTCCTGTAAGAATTCTGCTAGAAAAAAGGCATCCTATTTTCATAAACTCTGTATATAAGCGATATAGGATAGATTTAGACAAAATTTGCTTCCCGTAACACCAAGATTCATAGATGCTATAGCTAAGGACAAATGTTCTGAGAGAACATCTTGATCATCAACTATACTAAATACAGATGTAACTCTAATGACAAAGTGACAGGCAATCAGGGATACTGTCATAAGCGTTGGCTATATTACCATATTTATTATTATGAACGTATTTCTCAAGTTTAGAGGTTTGTACAGGGGGGGTACCCCCCCTGTACAGATTTTAAGTTTATTCATAGGGTGTTGTTGACCGAAACTATGGTACACTACAGTCAATAATCTCATAACGAATACAGTAGTAAGGAATATATCTCATAAGGAATAATTTTTCCTGGCAACAGACTCAGTGCACAGTAAATTATTCCAAATATTTGCTATGGAATAACGAATAGAAAATTTTCAGATTATTCCTTAGTAGATGTCATTTGTATACCAAAAATTGATTAGCTTGTACACTAAATGAGACTAAATTGTTTACAAATTGAAGCGAAAAGTCTAACAGTTCTATAGAACATGGAAAATAAGCTTTATTAATGCCTAAAGGAGTAAAGAATCTTAAGATATAGTACTGTCAGGAACAAGTTACAGAGCTGAAGAAAAAATGCGACACATACCTATACTAAGGATAGTGAAGACAACGAACCCGTTATTGAAGTGCCATCACCTCTTGAAGGAATTCAGATGTGCAATACAATGACCAATCTTTCTATTACACACTGTGAAGCAGCTAGTATACCACTCCTTCAGTTTCAGCGTCATCTTCGTCTCATGCATGGATACCTTGTTCGACTCAACCAGTCTGCGCAAAAGCAGACAACACTTGATACTATAGTTGCTGTGGTCCAGTTCTGGACCGGTCCACCCCTCCTTTACCTGGACTGTAACCCGGACCTCTTCATACGGTCCGGGTAAAGGAGGGACCTGGACCCGAACCTTTGTGGACTGCTGTTGGACCGGACCTGAGGTCCAGTCCAGGTCCGGTCCAGGTATGACCTGGACCAGTAGAACTTATACTTACAGTCAACTCAAGAGTGTGTCCCTAATGTGAGTAGAGGAGTTCAAGCATCCTACAACAAATAGTGTCTATTCTTTTTTTTGTAATATGTAGCTAGTGCTTTATACTAGACTATTTACAAAGAGAATAATAATGAGTTTTTAAGAATTTCAATTGCTTCAAAAGTTTCTGGAAGAAGTCAGTTACACTGCTTTGTATCTACAAGCCCTGCACCTGAAAACACACACTTACAAGGTACAGAGGAGCCTTGTATAGCAAGGTAATCCTGAGCTATGTGAGCAAGAATTGGATAACAAATACTATTCTCCTAAAAAAGAGTGTTAGTACAAGGAATGAATAATTGTAGTTCAACCCAGTCCAATATGTAAATTGTAATA